ATCCTTTTTTTTTGCCCTACAGAAAACATACAGAGCCATAAAAGATTGCAATTAACAAAAAGAAAGAGTGGTCTAATACAGGTTTTACCACAGAGGAGATATTTCTGTTGCAATAACATCCACAGCAGATTTAGTCAGGAAAATCTGATCTGGAATAACTCCTTATGTAGATGAGCCTATGTGCCTGCAAGAGTCACCCTGATGGAGCTATACATTATTGGGTTGGTATGACTTTAAGAATTAGAGCAATTGAAAAGTCTAGCAAAGCAACATTTTCCTGCTGTAGCGAAACATCAGTCCAAGACATCTAATTAGAAGCAGCAAGGCACAGTTTTTACAGTTTCAAAGAATTGCATGGGGAACTTAGCTTGGTAAGAGATTCTAATTAATGTCGGTGTAAATCATTACTCACTCTGAATGCTAGGATTTGAAAATTTTCTCCTGTGTACCTAAAAGAAGTGATAGAAGGTTTTTGCTTGTTTGTTTTTAAGATAACAGTTCCTTTTCTCTCTCTCTGTTATGTCATTGCATTCTGTGTTACAGAAAATCTGAGAATTATTGCTTCAGGATTGTTTTACATCTACCATATTATGGCAAAACATATCCTCAGTGATGGATAGTAGTGGGAGATGTTTGTCTGGTCTTTGTGTCAGGGCTCTGGAAGTTGCCAGAAGGGAGCACAGAGTCTTGTCCTTGCATACATCTGAAGCAGAGGCAGTGAGTTGAGTTTGAGGAGAAACCGGTATCTCCTTAAGTTAAAGAAAAAAAGAAGAGGAAAAAAAAAAAGAAAAAGTATTCAGAAGCTGTCCCATGCATAGTCTCACTCACAAATAAAAATATAACTAAGAAGGAAGAAAACAGAAAGCACTGAGGAACAAAGGAAAACACACAGACACAATCTTTGCTTAGGTTAAAACGGTCTCCGCTTTTATCTCTCTCCAGCTGTTTGCAAGAACAGATAAAAGAAAGCATTATTTTCCTCCCCTGCTACCATGTAGGCCTGGCCAATCTTCTAACACTGCAATTACAGGCACTTTGGTAAGGTTTGTTTATAGCAAACAGCAATGCTTACTCCCCAGCCTTATGCTAACTCTTTAAGGGCCATTCCGTCAAACATGGCACGTCCCAGCAAAATAGACATCTGTTGCCGCAAGTTCATGCATGTGCCCTCTCTATATGTAGCCACGTTTGGGCAGGGGGAAGACCCTCAAAGAGAAATATTTATCAAATACTTCACAGGCCCCAGAGCCGTTAAACCTTTCGCTCCTCACAGTTGACTCCAAAACTAAAACAAATGGTGCAGCCTGCGACTGGCCTCTGTGGCTTCACCCCTGCAATTCCTCCAGCTTCCACCACTCCTTGGGGCATGCTGCTGATAAGGACCCCAGACTGGGGGAGCAGTGTGGTGGTGGGGGGCTGCCTCCCCTGCAGCCAGAGCCCCCAGAGCTGGAGCTCCCCAGCCCGGCACACGTCTGCAGGGGGTTGCTGCCATCTGCTCTTAACATGCTGCCCATTTAAAGGAAGAAATTGGTTTTGCATAAAGGCCATCTAGTGCACCAAGATTTCCTCATATAAACCTGAAAAACTAACTTTCTGGCACTAAATTCTGAGAAAGTGTCACTCATTCAGCTCTTTGAGTATCTGATGATTATCTCTCAAGGTGACTTTATTCCTAGCAGGGAGAGATGAATTTCTGTTGTCCCTGAGAAGAGTTAATGGTGCCCATAGAAGCCAATAGCCTTTCCTCACCTGTAACTGTGAAAAAGGCCTTTTTTTCCCAGTCAGCCAAAACAGAATAAGAAATAATTTCCCACATTTGTTTATCCAGAGTTGTGGTTTTTTAATTGGCATATTTAAGATTGCTAAGGTCTATCCCCACGCATTTCATTATTCGTCTTTCGTTGACTCCTAACAGTGTGTCAGCAGGCTACATGTCTGGATCATTACACCCACCAGTTTCATGTGCCTGAGCAAGCATATAGCAGCTTTATATTTTGGCTTCTGTTTATTGGAAGGGTGATATAGTGCAGCAGGCTGGCTCATGTACTGAACAACCCTGTGCACTGCAAGTTATAGATGTATGTCTTATGGAGGCTTATCTAGTCACCCTGCAATCATCGCCCGTAATTCACTCCCTGGCTCACCTTTTTACAGCACAATCATGTATGAGAGTGGGAGACTTAACGACAACCGAGCAGCTATATACTTGCACTCTGCAAAAATACCCAAGTGTCATGAGTACTCCTTGTGATTGCAAAGCACATTCTTGGTCAGAAAAGACATTAAAACATGTAATTCCTGCCACATTCGGCTGATCAACCTTGCCCTTGGCTGATGCTGCTGTGAGAGTGACTTCTTGTTAGGGGCATGAAGTTGCCATATGCCACTGGAATAAAACCAGATGCCTTATGCATGTTGGGCCTAGCATTTGTCTTCAGGTACATGCTGGCACAGCAACAGCTTTCATTAGCAGCTGTCTTCATCTGCTGGAGCCCAACCACATCTTTACAACACTACAATTTATAAACCAGCCTGCGAGGCTTCAGTTCAGATATTATTTGTATGATAATGTCTGGATGAAATGCTGGGAATGTACCACCAGGACAGAAGCACTGGTAAAAGCTCAAAAGCAAACAGCCAGAAAGGCATCAACATTATAGTCCCACTAGTTAGAGAAGACACATTTTCCTGGCTGAGCCTCCTTGCAGCTGGTGCCCTGGACTCAGAAGATCTCTTTTTCTGCCAGACAAGATGTTCTCTGAACTTCACATGTTGTCTGGGACATATCTGGTCGCCTTTCACTAGGCACAGAGACTTGTGAGCAGAAAAATACATACAACCTATGAGGCCCCAAGTCACAAGACTGGGTCTGGCAGAATTATTGGAGACATGTTCAATCCATCTATGCATAGTTTGCTGTCATCAGACAGCACAACAGTGCTGAACATTAACTTCCTTTATAGGCATGGCACATAATATCCTGCATCTCTTACTAGCAGCATGTCTTTTGCCCCTTCTCTTCAATATGATTCTTGTATCTGCCCGCTAAACAGAAAGCTTTATGTGACTCATCCTGCTCATAAAGCACTTCAAAAGGTTTTAACTAAGAGGAAATCTCATATATAGACCAATGGAACAGACAGTTCTGTCTCCTGTACTGACAGAAACTGTCTAGTCAAATTCTAGAAAGTTTGGGGGGGGGCGGGGCAGAAGTTGTGCTTCCTGTTTTCTTATTGCCATGATTATATCTGTCCAAAAAGTAGAAAGGAATACCATGAAAAATTTAATTAAAGAAGAAGAAGTGGTACAATGTCAGAAAGACAATATTTGCAAGAGCATCTTTAAACAGAAAAAGCAGAGAGTCAGGATCAAAAAGAATAGGTGTCAA